AAGGGGGAAGGATGGCCGGAACAGTGGAAAAAGGGAGGGATAGATAGTGCCGATATTTAAAAAAGGAGGAGGGGAGGAAGTGGCAAATTATAAAGGAGTGACACTTATGTCGTCACTTTACAAGATATATGTGATGGTGTTAGCGGAAAGATTGAGAGAGGAGGTAGAAGGGAAAGAAATTCTATGGAAAAGCCAAGCGGGGTTTAAGAAAGGAATGGGATGGATAGACCAAGTGTATGCACTGAATTATCTAATAAATAGGCAGTTAGGAAGAGAGAAGGGGGAAATGTATGTGATGTTCGTAGATCTAAAGGCAGCATTCGATTCAGTGAATAGAGAAATTTTGATTAAGACGAGGGAAAGGGGAGTGAGAGAGGGGTTGGTAAGGAGAGTAGAGGAGGTGGACCTAAGGGAGACAAAATGCAGGGTGAAAATAGGAGGGAAATGGAGAGAAGAGTTCTGGATGGCGAGAGGGGTTAGGGCAGGGGTGTCCACTTAGCCCGCTATTATTTAATTTATTATTATCGGATCTGGAAGAGGTCATGGAAAAGACAAAATGGGGAGGAGTGAAATTGAGGGAGGAGAGAATATATACGTTAGCGTATGCAGACGATATAGCGGTGATGGCGGAGGAGGAATACGGAATGAAAACGTTGATAAGTAGGATGGAAAGATATATAGAAGGGAAAGGTTTGGAAAAAACGAAAGTGATGAGATTTAGAAAAGGAGGAAGGAAAAGAAAGATAGATTGGAGATGGAGGGGAAAAGGATAGAAGAAGTGAAAGAGTTCAAATATCTGGGAGACACGTTAAAGGAAAATGGTGGTCAAGAGGCACACATAAGGGAAAGAAAGAAGAAGGCGGCAATTGTAATGAGAGAGGTGTGGGGGATCGGAAAGAGAATTTGGGGAAGAAACTGGGAACGGAGATTATGGCTGTACGACACCTTGGTATGGACAGTAATGGGATATGGGGCAGAGATATGGGGATGGAAAGAAAGAGAAGAAATAGAGAAAATACACGAGAGGTACATAAAGTGGACGATGGGGGTTGATTGGAGAACTCCAGGATATATGATAAGGGAAGAGGTAGAGAGAGGGATGATGAGAGGAAGAGCAGGTAGAAGAACATGGGTATATGAAAGAAGGTTGGAAGAAGGAAGAGGAGGAGAGGTGGCTAGGATGTGCTGGGAGGAAATGAGGAAAAGATGGGAAAAAGGGAAGGTAATAGGAAGATGGAAACAAGAGAAAAGAGAATTTTTAAGAGAGAGAGAGTTAAATGAAGAAAACGCAAGGGTAGAATATGAGGTAATTGAGAGGTAGGAGAGGCAGAGAAGAGAGAGATGGCAAAAAATAAGGGAGTCGAGGTACAATAGATGGTACAAGGTGATTAAAAAGGAAGGGATACCAGAGTATTTAAATAAGGGATAGAAGGAAGAAAAGATTGATCAGATGTAAGTTAGGAAATGAAGTAAAAGAGAGATTATATTAGGAGAGAGAGGAAAAAAAATGTAGGAGATGTGGAATGGAGGAGGAAACGTGGGAGCACATATGGAAACACTGTATTAAAAAAATGGAGGGGGAAGAGAAGACATGGCAGGAAGTAGTGGAAAAAATCTTAGGAGAAAAGGGGGAGGGAGAGGAACGGCTAAAGGAAGTAATGAGGAAGAGAGGGATAAAGGAGGGGGAGGAGGGAGGATAGAGAAAGGAAAAGGGGAGGGAGATGATGGAGGAAGGGAAGGAGGGAGAGAAAGAAAAGAATGAGAGTGGGAGTGTAAGTGAGAGAGAGAAAGTGAGAGAAAGAGAGAGTGAGAGAGAGAGAGAGAGAGAAAGATGAAAGAATGAGGGAAACAGAAGCCCATGGGATAGGGTAAAGGATAGGATGGGTAGAAAGCGTGCGGCATGTGTGTGTGTGTGTGTGTGTGTGTGTTTGTGTGTGTGTGCGTGTGTGTGTGCGTGTGTGTCTGTGTGTGTACATAGGTAGGGAAGCTAGGATAGAGGGGGTTATAGAAGAAGATATGCGGATAGGTATAAGTTAGTTATAAGGTAATTGTAAGATAATTTTAAGAATATTAAGAAAATGTATGTTGCGGAATTATTGTAAAAGAAGCGGAAGACATTGTATCCTGAAAGGGATCAATAAAATTGCTAATAATAAATAATAATAAACAGAAAGAAAAGGAGAGAGTGGACCAGAAGCGGAAAGCAAAAAACAGCGACATTAAAGTTGGATATCAAGAAATACTGAAAAATGTGATTTTTCCTCATAAATTAACACCAACATTCGACCCAGCAGTGTACATCGTAGTAGAGCGAGAGAATAATGAAGTCAAGCTGTGGGGAAACGACAAGATTGTCCACAGAAACGTTAGTCATGTCAAGAAGGCACCAGAGTCGCTAACGCCGGAAGTAGTCGAGGAAACCAAGAGCTCACCTACCGAGGAACCCCCATCGACCTCAGGAGAAAATAAAAAACGGAAGTCCGGAAAACGATTAACTATGAAACTGCAAAATAAGAGAGGGATGTGGAGACCAGTACCCGAGTCGTCTGATCCCGACAGGACCGCGGGTAGTAGCGACACCGATACGCAGACGGACGATTGGCAGGACGAGTCAGTCGAGTAAAGAGACACGAAGAGGT